CTTCTAGCAGTTTCTGAGTTTCAGGTTTTATACTGAGGTCTTTGATCCATTTGGGCTTGACTTTTGTGCAGGGTGAAAGATAAGGATCTAGTTTCATTCTTCTACAGGTGGAGATCTAGCTTGCACATCACTTGTTGAAGATGCTCTTTCCTCCATTGTGTGTTCTTACCACTTTTCTCAAGTATCAGGTGGCTGAAATTATATGAACTCATGTTTGTGTCTTCTATTGTGTTCCATTGATCTACGTGTCTATTTTGTACCAGCACCATGCTGCTTTTATGACTACAGCTCTGTAATATAGTTTGAGATCTGGTATGGTGATCCCCCCCAGCATTGTTCTTTTTGCCCAAGATCATTTTGTTTATCCAAGCTCTTTTGTGATTCCATATACTTGAGGGTTATTTTGTCAAGCTCTGTGAAGAGTGTCATGGATATTTTGATTGGGATTGCATTGAATCAATAAATTGCTTTTGGTAAAGATGGTCAGTCTCACAATATTGATTCTACCAATCGATGAGCATGGCAGGTCTTTCCATCTCCTGGTGTCTTCCTCTATCTCTTTCTTTAGAGTTTTGAAATATTCATTGTAAAGATCTTTAATGTCTTTGGTTAGGTTTATTCCTAAATATTTTTTGAAGCTATTGAGAATGGGAGGGTTTCCTCTAGTGCTTTTTCTGATTGCTTGTTATTGGTATATATAAAGGCTGCTGAGTTTTGTAAGTTGGTTTTGTATCCTGCCACTTTACTGAAAGCATTAATCAATTCTAACAGTTTTCTAGTGGAATTTTTGGCATCTGGTATGTATAATAGCATATCATCTGCAAATAGGGATCATTTAATCTCTTCTTTTCCAATTGGTACTCCTTTTATTTCCTTCTCTTGTCTTATTGCTCTAGCAAGGGTTTCAAGCACTATGTTGAAAAGGAGTGGAAATAGTGGACAGCCCTGTCTGGTTCCTGATTTTAATGGGAATGCTTCCAGATTTTCTCAATTTTAGGATGATGTTGGCTATGGGTTTGTTGTATATAACTTTAATTATGTTGAGGTATGTTCCCCCACATAAATTCCTTGTAGGGCTTTTAACATGAATGTGTGTTGGTTTTTGTCAAAGGTCTTTTCTGCATCTGAGATGACCATGGGGTCATTTTCATTAAGTCCATTTATTTGTTTATTACATTTATTAACTTATGAATGTTGAACCATCCCTGAATCTCTGGAATAAAGCTGACTTGATAATGGTGGATGATCTTTTTTGATGTGTGTCTGTATGTGGTTTGCAAGTATTTTGTTGAGTATCTCTGCATCTATGTTCCTTAAAGATATGGATCTATAGTTCTCTTTTTCTGTTCTATCTTTACCAGGTTTTAGTATTGCAGTGATACTGGCTTCATAGAAGGAGTTTGGGAGGTCTCCCTCTGTTTCCATCTTTTTGAATAATTTAAGCCATATTGGTTGTAGGTTTTCTTTGAATGTCTGGTAGAATTTTCTCTTTCTTTCTTTTGGTTAATTCTGCTGAGGGTCTATCTTGTTTAACCTTTCAAAGAACCAGCTCTTAGATTCATTCTTGTTTTGTATTATTTTGTTTATTTCATTAATTTCTGCTCTGAATTTTGTTATTTCTTCTCATATACTAGGTTTGGGGTTGGTTTGTTCTTGCCTTTCCAGAGTCATGAGTTGTATTGTCAAGTCGTTTACATGTGCTGTTTCTGATTTTTTAATGTAGGCACTAAGAGCTATAAACTTCCCTCTTAGGACTGCTTTTAGAGTGTCCCAGAGGTTTGTTGTGTTCTCATTTTCATTTTGTTCCAGGAATATTTTTATTTCTTCTTTAATTTCTTCTTTGACCGATTCATGATTCAGGAGTGTGTTGATTAATCTCTATGAGTTTGTATATTTGAGTTTGTGTATCTACTAGAGCTTCTTTTGCTTTTGAATATAAGCTTTATTGCACTGTGGTCTGATACATGGCATGGAATTGTTTCAATTTTTTTTTTTTTGTATTTCTTGAGATTTATTTTGTGCTCCATAATGTGTTCAATTTTAAAATAACTTGCATTAGCTGCTGAGTAGAAAGTGTATTCTTTGGTGGTTGGGTGGAATATTCTGTATATATCTGTTAGGTCCATTTCATATAGTAGGTCATGTAATTCAGATGTCTCTCGGTGTATTCTTTGTCAAGTTGACCTGACTATTGAAGAAAGGGGGGTATTAAAGTTGCCCACTATCACTGAGTTTGTGCCAATTTCTGTTTTATAGTCCTGGTCTACTGATTTTATGAAATTGGGTGCTCCAGAGTTTGGTGCATAAATGTTCACGATTGTAATATCTTCTTGGTCAATTGTTCCTTTCATTAGAATGAACTAACTCTCCTTATCTCTTCTGATGAGTTTTAATTTGAAGTCTATTCTGTCAGGTATTAAAATTATAACACCTGCTTGCTTCTTAGGGCCATTTGCTTGGAATATTTTTTTCCATCCTTTCACCCTAAGATAGTGTCTATCCTTGAAGGTGAAATGAGTTTCTTGAAGACAACAAAAAGGTGGGTTTTCTTTCCTGACCCATTGCACCAGCCTGTGTCTTTTGACAAGTGAGTTGAAGCCATTGATACTTAGTGTTATTATTGAAAGGTGCAGACTGTATACCGTAATTTAAATTTCTTTGTGTTTGTGGCCCTATTTTGTGTTTCCATTGTTACAACTTTATTTTCTTTCTGTAGCCTCTTGGGCGTACTCATTCCTTTCCTCAGTCCTTTGTACTGCTTCAAGTATTCTCTGTAGTGCTGGTTTGGAAGACATGAATTCTTTCAGCCTATTTGTGTCATGGAAAATTTTCTGCCAACCCCCGCCCCTGCCATCAAATTAATTTCCAGACAGTGTTTCATGTGTCCCAGGTGGTTCTCAGGACACAGAAGCAGGAAGATGGTCCTCAGATGAATACTGAGTTCTAGACTGCCCCAAAGCCTGGCTTACATGACACCATTTATCTTAAAAGCATTGATGTAACACATGCAAGATGGGAAAGGGATAAGGGGCAGGAAGGTTCTTCTACTGTGTAGGGATTAGAGGTAACTGCATGTAACTTGCACCCTGCCTTCCTCTTTCTAGTCCTGCAGCCTCCCCTGTCTTTGTCCCAATCAGCAGCACTGGTGGAATTATCCTGTCTCTTCATGCCTGAAGATCATAATTGACCTGGGAGATTCCCCTCTGGAGGGTGAGCTTTTACATGTATGTTTCCCTTTTGTTCCCGTGATTCACTTACACCCAAACCACCCCAATACCTTCTAACACAGGTAAGCACTCTATTTGACCTAGCTGGTGTGCTTAGGGAACATTTATTATGCAATTCATATCATGTGACATGGTGTACAGTCCTGTGTTGCAGAGGGACCTGCAAGTAAAGCCCAGTGCAGACACCTCCGGAGCATGAACGATGGTGACGTTATTCATGTTACAAACATAAGAGGACTGAATACAGCATGTATAGAGCTGTTCTCTCCTTTGTTACTCATTAGGAACAGGGTTCTAAGATGGAAAAGGGAAGTCTGAGGTTGCACATTCTTGTAACTTGTACTTGGGCATCTGAGGTAGAGGGATGGTGAACACAAGCCCAGCCTGGGGTGCAGAGAAAACTTTCCTGAAACACCACTAGAAATGAATAAATAAGTGATCTGCTATGAGGCTGAAGCCCCTTCATCTCTACCCAGAATTCTGACCTTTCTCAAAGCACATCATGCAGTGAACAAAAGGTTACTCCCTAAAACGAGGTTAGGGAGCCATGGACAACACAGAAGTCATTGGAGATTCCATTTATTTCTCACTCTCCCTTAGAGGGTGGGGTGGAGACAACATTTGTCTAGAAACCTTAAACTGGCCTTGAACTTGAGATTTTTGTGCCTTAGTCAGATGGCAGGTAAGAGACAAATCCTAACGGACTCCTATGAAGTAACTGATCACTAAACTCCTGTACTAGTTGCCAGTGGCCATTGGCCTTCAGAATATAATATTGCAAGTAAAAAGCATTCCAGAACATGGGAGAGAACCGAACCTTATGTTTTATCTTTAGGTCTATCACTACCTGCCTCAACTTAGAAGAGACCAGAAAAAATTCCCTTTCATTAAACTCAAGCCAGAATCCTTCCTCAAAACTTGAAGGAAGAGGATACAATCCTTGCTTTAACTGGCTCAGCCTGGCAGTATGACCCAGCAGGTTCACCAGAACAGATATGGATATGTGGTTCCCATAGCAACTGAGTGTGTTGAGATGGGAACAGCAGTCCAGGGCAGGCAGGATACAATTGACATGGGAATCATTGATAAAACATAGGTCTAAGACCAGGGTCTCAAGTGTCCCTGCCACCTTCTCTAGCAGAGCCCGGAGGGGCTGCGGACTGAAGTCCGCCATGTCGATGTTGCTCAGAGTCAGGTGCTTCTACCTGGGCATCTGAGGCAAAGGGATGGTGAACTCAAGCCAAGCCTGAGGTGCAGAGAAAACTTCCCTGAAACATCACTAGAAATGAATAAATAAGTGATCTGCTATGAGGCTGAAGCCCCCTCCATCTCTAGCCAGAATTCTGGCCTTTCTCAAAGCTTTAGGTTACTTATTTCTTTTCTTCCTAAGACTTGAGTCCAGAGCCTTTGCACCCCAAATTGCATAGTAATAGTTATGAACTGATCATCAGTGATTGTGCGCAACATGCAGTCAACAAAAGATTACTACCTAAAACAAGGTTGGGGAACCATGGAGAACACAGAAGTCAATGGAGAGTCCATTTATTTCTCACTCGCCCTTAGAGGGATGGCGTGCAGACAATATATCTCTAGAAAGAGTAAACTGGCATTGGACTTGAGATTTTTCCACCTTAGTCAAATGGCAGGTAAGGGATAAATCCTAATGAACCCCGATGAAGTAACTGATCAGTTAGCTCTTCTCCAAGTTCCCAGGGGCTATTGTACTTCAGAATATAATATTTCAAGTAAAAAAAAATCCCAGAATGTGGGAGATTACCGAACCTTATGTTTTATCTTTAGGTCCATCACTAACTGCCTGAACTTAGCAGAGACCTGTAAAAATTTCATTTCATTAAACTCAAGCCAGCATCCTTCCTCAAAACTCGAAGGCACAGGACACAACACTTGCTTTAAGTTAAAGCTCAGCTTGTCAGTACAACCCATCAGTTTCTCCAGAACAGATATGGACATGTGGTTCCCATAGGAACTGAGTGTAGTGAGATGGGAGGAGGCATCGAGGGCAGGCAGGATGCAACTGATGTGGGAATCATTGATAAAGCATTGGTCTAAGACCAGGGTCTCAAGTGTCCCTGCCACCTTCTCTAGCAGAGCTCGGAGGGGCTGCGGACTGAAGTCCGCCATGTCGATGTTGCTCAGAGTCAGGTGCTTCAGCTGACCTGTGCTTGGACACTCAGAAAGATGCTTCAAGTCTGATTCCAAAAGTGGACTGGACTTCAAGGAGAGGGTCTTTAAGGGAGTGTGACTCCTGAGGGAAAAGCAGAGGGATCTGGTGAGTGACAGTAGTGATGGGGCTCACTGGTAAAAGACCTCAGGGCAGGACATGACCTTGTAGTCCAAGGTCATCCTGCCCTCATGATGGTCACAGCCAGGATGCTACAAGATGGAGACTCTTTGTTCTAGTTCCCTAATTCCAGGCTGAGACCTGTCACCATCACTGTGAGACTGACTCAGTCCTGAGCTCTAGAGTTCCTTTTATTACTGTCAGAGAACCACAGCGATGAACAGAGAGAGGTTCACCAGAGATATACAGGAATGAATCACATCCAACCCTGTCCCTAAGAGTCCCCCTCCACACAGGCTCTGTTTTATTTCTAGTCTTCACCCTGCCCCTCACCCTCCACCCAGGAGTCAAAATTTTTCCATCAATTCAACAACTGTGTGGCCTCACAAAAGTCCTTTACACATGAGGAATTAAAGGCAGGTTGCTCTCTATACATCTGTTGAGGAAGAGCTCACCTGGTGTGGTGGATAGTTTTAGTGTGAACGTGACACACCTGGGTTGAGGGAGCCTCAATAGGGGAATTGCCTCTATTGGACTGGCCTGTGGCCATGTCTGAGGGGCATCTTCTTGATGAGTGATGTGGGAGGGCCCAGCCCACTGTGGGTGGTGCCACCCCTGGGCAGGTGGGCCTGTGTTGGATAAGAGAGCAGGCTGAGCAGGGGCCAGAGAACAAACCAGTAAGCAGTGTTCCTCCGTGGCCTGTGCTCCAGATCCTGCCTCCAGGTTCCTGCCCTGAGTTCCTACATTGGGCTCCCTGATGAACTGTGACCTGGGATATGTAAGCTAAATAAACCCTTTCCTCCCCAAGTTGATATTGGTCAGACTGTTTTGTCACAGCAATGAAGAACAAACTAAAACACCTAGGGAACCATGGAGGTCTAAGTCCTCCGCTCCCTCAGTGCCCTCTTCTCTCCCTGTTCCCCTCCCTAATTAGACAGCATTCCTAAGGGGGAAAAGACTAGGTCCCTCACTAGGTCTCAGCTCAAAGCAGCAAACCCCACTTGGGAGCCCTTTCCAGCTGCCCCCTCTGCTTTTACATGGGTGGTTGTGTATGGCCTGCTTTAGGTCGGCATGGTGGAGCTTACCGTGCACACTTTCTGTGTCTCCCTCACTATCCACCATTACCTGCACCTGACCCCCAGCAGACTCCCCTCTAGATGTACTACAACCCAGGATGGCGTAGCTCTGTGCACGGCCAGCACTGTACCCGCTCTCACCTGAGGATGTTGTGCAGTTGTCCTTTAAGGAAGAAGACGTCATTTATATAAATCTCCTGCAGATTGTCCAGCTTTTGTAAATGGACTGCATACATATGGGAATACCACTTACTTTGCCTTACAGAAGTGTATGTATCCGGACTCATACCATCAAAGGAAAACTTCTGAAGGTTGCTCATCCTGGCCAGGTAAGAAGCAAACACTTTCATGGTGCCTAGATGAAAAAAACTGTTCATCTCCAGCTCCTCGATGCTGTCAAGGCACACAACATGCAGAAACTCCTGTATTTGGTATATGGAATCTGAAAAAATCTGCAGCCTCCTGCAGCACAGCTGGACGACCTGTTTTCTCATCGCTACCCAGTGCAAGAGGTAGGCTTGGAAATCGTTAAGAGCTCCACGTTTGAAGGTGATGCAAAGGTCTGCCAGTATCTTCAACGGCCTCGTTCGAATCCCAGAACCAGGGCAGCTTCTTTGCACCTCACCAGGGAGCTCTGAGCAGGCGCGGGCTATGCGTCCACACCCCATCTTCCAGATGTTCTCATCCCCGTTCTGCAGACTGAGCACTTGCAGCTTCCACTCTCTGTGGGAAAAACAAATGTGCCTCACATTACAGGAAGGACCCCAACTCCAAAATGAGCTGGATTCTAGCTTTTGGATGCCAGCTGCCCCCCTGCTTCCGCCCTGTTTTACTTACTCAATTATAAAAACAACTTTTTTTATTTTTTAAGAAAATCTCTCCTTTTGGAGTCCAGTTTGTCCTTGAACTCCAGTTCCTCCTGTCTCCACCTCTAGAGAGTGCTGTGATTACAGACCTGGTCAGCACACCCTGTTTTCTATCTTCCTTTTCTCTACTCCCTCTGGTCCTCCTTCTGATGAGTGGGAAGAGGCAGGGATAGGTTCCTAAGGCTGTGTCTTCCTCTATCCTCAGCAGTCTCGCATGCTTGAATGCACTTTCCCCGTTAGATTGGTGATGACCCAGACCTTCTAGCCTCTTCACTGACACTGTCTATAGTCTTAGTTCTACTTCTGTCCTCTCTATGATCTCAGCTCTCCTTCCCTGGCTCCTGGGCCTGCCCTGTAGTCTTGCTGGGTCTCTCTTACCTGGAGCGATCCTTCATTGCAAGCAGCATATCAAGTCCTTCCAGGAAGACTTGTAAGGTTTTCAGATGGTTTGTCTTCAGCAGTGACCCCAAGGGCAGTGTAGGGAATGGCCAGGCCTGTACCATTGACCTCAACACATGTGTGTGTCTCTCTTTGAAGGCCTCCAGGAAAATTGGTAAGAAGAAGTCCATAGGCAGGTTCTGTAGTGAGGAGGGATCCAAGGCCTCACCCTTCACCAGGCTCCTACTTGACAGCTCCAGGAGTGTGGGTGGGGCCTGCAAATTCATGCTGAGGAATCTACAGGGAACTTTTCCTGAGGGAGTACATTGAAAAGACAGCCTTTTAGCCAGAGTGAGAAACTCCATTTCACTCATTCAAGGGCTCAAGCATACCCCAAGTCACTGCTCTGTCAGTGGTGGAGACCTCAGTTTACCCTGCCACATTATGAAGTTGATATCCAAGTTTACCCACATGGGCTCCAGGTCACTATCGTCCCTTCTGAGGCCTGTCACTGCTCCCCCAAGCCTCACTGCAAATGGGTACACAGGACCTGAATGGAAAAGTACCTGGACTTCTCTCAGGGCCCTCAAAAGCAGCATTGCAAATGTCCTGCTCCACCCTCTGTACATTCCCTGGGCAACATTAATCTTGTCTGGGAAAGTTCAAGCAGAATTTCATTTTAAAAACCCTAGTAGTTTTTGGCTGGGGAGATAGCTCAGAGGTTAAGAGCACTGGCTACTCTTGCACAGGAACTGGGTTCGATTCTCAGCACCAACATGACAGCTAACAACTATCCTTAACTCTAGTTCCAGGGGTATATTGCTCTCTGTTGACCTCCAAGGGCATTGCAGAATATGAGTGCACTTTGGTACATGCAGGCAATACACTCATACACAAAAATGAAAATAATAAATAAAAATATTTAAGAACTGTAGTAGGAAGTGCTGGGCATGGTGTCATAAGCCTTTAAACCCAGCTGTCTGGAAGCAGAGGCAGACAAAATCATTTTAGGACATGTGGTCACGCCTGCAATCCCAGCACTTGGAAGGTGGAGGGAGGAGGATCCAGAATTCACCCTCGTTCCAGGCACTGAGACACAACAAAGACAAGGGACAAGAAAACACAGCAGTTTGGAGGCCCACACCTTCGTTCTCAGCACCAGAGATGGAGAGGCAGGAGGACCATGACTTCGATCCCAACCTAGGCTAAGCAGTAAGACCGCCTCCAAGTTCTAAAATAAAGCTGTCCCTACCCTAGTCGAGGAATGATTGGCAACTGATAGCTGCTGGGGGGGGGGGGGGGGGAGTCAGTCTCTTTAGGGACGAGGTAGGTTACCCAGGCTCCAGTGAGCGCACACACACTGAAGTGCGTTTGCAGACACGACTCTGACTCCATTGGCCTGAAAAATATGTTTCATGAAGTAAATGGAGTTGTGTTGGTGGGGGTAGTAAGGGGTGTGCAGATAGTGGAGCAGGGCAAAAAATATTTTCTGCAATCTGCAAAAATTCAATTAAAAAAAACTTTTTTAAAAATGTAAAATGAGGGGCTGGAGAGATGGCTCAGTGATTAAGAGCAATTTCTGCTCTGCAGGGGACCTGGGCTCAGTTCTGAGCACTTACATGGTGGTAACAGGAACCCTTAGCTGCAGCTCTGGGGGATCCTGCACACACTTTTGGCCTCCTCAGGCATGGTATGCTCATGGTACACTTACACACATGCAGACAATACACTCATACATGTAACATAATAAGTAATTAAATAAATTTTAAATGAAAAAAAAAACCCAAAATTAAGATCTAGCTGGCAAACTGCTCATGGTAGTATACACCTGTAATTCTAGTACTCAGGAGGCTGAGGAAGGGACACTGGCCTTTTGAAGCCTGTTTGGACTACACAGGAAGCTTAAACCCAGCTAGATAAATTTACTAAGAATACATTTTCACCTAAAAAGAAAAGATAAGGGTAGAGATATAGCTCAGTTTTATGTGATTGAATGGAATATATTAGGCCCTGGGCAGTCCCCAGTACTATGGAAACAAAGAAAAGCAAAAGCAAGATTTTTTTTCCTTTGGTCTTTTTGAAGCAGGGTCTCCCTGTAGCCCCAGCTATCTTAAAACTCACTATGTAGACCAGGCTGGCCTTGAACTCACAGAGAGATCCACCTGCCTCTGCCTCCCGAGTGCTGGGATTAAAGGCTTGCACCACCACGCCCAGGGTAAAGCAAGAAATTTTTAATCAGGCATTGTAAGGGAAATATTTTCCCACAGATTCTGGAAAGTGTTGCTCAGATGGAAACTGACCAGGGACCCATTCAGGTTTAGATCCCCATGGATGTGTCTTACACTAAAAGAGACCACTTTTCTCTAGGACTCACCATCCAGACTACCTGAAAAGGTGTTTCTTGTATGCCAGAGACACTGGATTGAGTCTGGATGACCACCAAACAAATAAACTGGTCATAAATGAAAGCTGAGTAAGGTAAGCAGCTCCTGGAATCCCATGGCTCTGAAGACTGAAGCAGGACAGTCACCCTGTGTTTAAGGCCAGGCTGGACTTAGGAATGAGACTGTATCACAGTCTAAAGAAAAAAAAAAAAAAAACACCAATCCAGTCAACCAACCAAACCCCACATCAATAATAAAACTTAAAGAGAAAACAAATACACTGAGGTGCAAAATATTGAACAGGAAAGTTTTTTTGTTTGTTCTGGCTTGGTATTGGAGGTAGGGTCTCCTGAAGCCACATTTCCCTTGAATTAACTCTAGAGCTGACGATTACCTTGAATTTCTGATGTTGCTGGGGGTTATAGGCGTGGGCCTCAAAAACCGGTTCTGTGCTGTGCTGTGAGTCTAATACAGGACCTCATGAACACTATCAAGTACATTCAGTAGTTGGTGAGCAGAGCTGCATCCCCAATTCACTGTTTTATTTTTTTTTCAACCATTAGACACTATTCTCAACCCTCATCTATTTCTTCAGGTCCTGTTGCTCTTGAGCCAGAGAATCTCTGAATAGCTGAGCCAGGCTTCCACTCCCTGTCCTTCTGCCTCAGCTGATGCTGGGATTGTAAATGTGCACCATGACGCACAGCGTCATCTGTTGTTTAGCTCTGACTAGCACAGGGCTTTAATCCCAGCACTGGGGAGGCAGAGGCAGAGGCAGGCAGATCTCTGTGAGTTCAAGGCCAGCCTGGTCTACATAGTGAGTTCCAGGACAGCTGGGGCTACAGGGAGATCCTGTCTCTAAAAGACCAAAAAAAAAAAAAAAAAATAGTCTTAAGGTCAGGTGTGGAGGTATGGTGGGAAGGCTTGAAATCCCAGCACTTCCAAAGTGGAGGCAGCAGGATCAGGAGTCGAAGGTCAGCCTTAGAAACCCATCATGCTTGAGACCAGTCTGGGACTCACTGTAACTTTGTGTCCAAAAACCAAACCAAAGCGGTGTGAGGACTCAAAGCACAAGTGAAGGATGAAGGCAAAGATGCATTTGCAGTAAAAGTCATAGTGTGGACTGACCTGTGGGTCTGAAGAGACAGAAACCATATTCTATATGGTGTCCTGGGCCTATGTCACCCCTGGGCCTGTTGAAGGTGGTGGTAGGCTTCCCCATGGAGGGGAGTGACTTACCTGAGGCAGATGTGGCAGGCAGGACTGACTCCAGGCTCCAGGACTCTGACTCTTTTCTCCTCCTAAACTTGTATTGGCTTTTCTACTAGGGTCCCTTTCTAATCCTTTCTAACTGTCCAATCAGAAAGCAGGATCTGGTTAGATTCCTGAATCTCTGCCCACTTTAAGGTCCTGTTTGGGTTTCAGCTTTATCTCATTGGATGGAATTGTGTAGGTTTTTGAAGGAAGGACACAGTGACAGTGTGGATGTCAAGACCTCATCGATCGGGGTCTGTGCTTGAGCTTCACTCAGGAGTGACTGTCAGGGTCCTGAGTGTGGGGGGAGGAAGATCTCCCTCCAACCTTAGAAAAGACAGCAGCTGGATGTGTCCTGGTAAAGGGACCTTAGATTATCAAATCAGGAATAGCCAGGTGTGGTGCACCGCACCTTTAATCCCAGCACTTGGAAGGCAGAGGAAGGAGGATATGTGTGTGATCAAGGCCAGCTGGGGCTACAGGGAGAACCTGTCTCAAAACATTCCAAGAAAAATCATGCATAAAGCTGGGTGTGGTAGGCATGCCTTTCATCCCTTCCCCATAGAGATAGTCAGAGGACTAAATGCAAATGAGAACCCAGCCTGATTTGCATAGGGCGTTCCAGGCTGATCAGGGCTAACTAGTTAAAGTAAATATGAAACAAATATAAAATATGTTCTAGATTAGAAAGTGCTCTCCAAGGTGCTAGAAAGCAGTAGTCCTAGCTACAAGAAGCTGAGGCAGGAGGATGTCCACTGTGTCTGGAATTTATCACCTTCCTGTGAAAAAAGGATTATAAAATGAAAGTGTGGTGGCACACGCCTTTAATCTCAACACTCAGGAGGCAGAGGCAGGCAGATCTCTGAGTTCAAGGCCAGCCTGATCTACATAACGAGTTCCAGGACAGGTGGGGCTACAGGGAGACCCTGTCTCAAAAAGACCAAAAAAATAAAATAAATAAATAAAATGAAAGAAAGAAAGACTAGCAATAAATCTTTATGGGACAGTGGTCTAAACTGTGCCTGTTGGTGCTTGCCTTTAATCCCAGCTTTCAGGAAGCAGGCGGGTTGATCTCTGCGAGAGTAATACCACCCTGGACAATGTAAAAAGTTCCAGGCCAGGGAGGGTTACAGAGAGACACTTTTGTTTGATACAAACAAGCAAAAGGAAATGAATGAAATAAAGAAGGAAGGAAGGAAAAGAAAGAAAACTGAAGAAAGATGTCCACTTGGGGAATAACAGGGATCAGTATGCAGAGTACCCAGATTCCTTGACCCTCAGGCTGGTCAGCGGATGTATATTTAATCAATTCTTTGTGCATGCCAGCCAGGTAGTCTCAGAATCACGGAAGAAAAACCTTTGTTCTCTGCTAGAGGCTGTGTGCAGACCACTGCTGCAAGCCCCCATACAGGGGGATTTGTCAAGGTCATAGTTAGATGACATCATGCCGGTCCCTCGACCTTGCAAATCCCTTAGGATGACTCTGGGGGTGATTCCAATCACATCCTGTCTGATCCTTAGAGGGAGTGAGGTTCTGACCTAGCCCAACTCCCATAATAGGGGGGTTGGGGATTCAAGCACAACCAACACTCCTCATCGAAGTCTGGTTCTGAATGATTTAGGCATCGATTGACTTTCGTTAAAATTCTTAGCATGGAGGGACCATCCTCAGGGTTTTGGGTCAGTGTGGCTGGGGTGGTCCCTCCTGGTGTGATGGGCGCTTCTAAGGTCATGGGGAGGTGGGGCACAATAAATTTAAGGTCGTAAGTGTTCAAAGGTCTATTTGGAAGGTGTGCTGGCTGTCGGTGGTCACAGGTGCAAGGACCCTTCCATCCCCAGTCATCCTGAGTTGTCATTCTCAGGCCTGGGGGCCATGGGGATTGTATGCATTTCCTTTGGGGAGAAAAAGGAACCAAAGCATAGTTATAAGAATCAGGGAGTTTGTGTCAATCTTATCTTCAAAAGGTCAGAGGTCCCAGTGACAGCCCATCTTCTGTAACATTTTTTAACTGGCTATGGTGGATTCAAGAGGAGAATCCAGCCACTTTTACCACTGTTGGTGTGGTAAGGTTCATAGGATATGGGACTTTATAGGTTGACTCCAGGGTCCAGGCTGGGATGCTCATAATCCACACCAAGTCACCACATTGGAACTTATGGATGGGTTCTGAGGGGATCAGCTCCTCAGACCATCTGGTAGATGGTGCCCTGGACCTGTTGCAGAGTCTGTAATAACTTGGGAATGGAGTGATTAGTTTTCTATTTGGGGAGGATAGGTAATGGTCTCTTGAACATAATTTCATAAGGGTGACTCCTTCCCAGTAGGGGGAGCACCTGGTCCTGAGGAGGGCTAAAGGAAGGAGGTCCCCTAAATCACTCCTCTTTCTCTAACCAATTTGGTCAGAGTCTCTTTTAAGGTCCTATTTATCCTCTCTACCTGACCTGAATTCTGTGACCCTTAGGCACAGTATAATTTCCAGTTACTATTCAATGCATTTGTCAGACTTTGGAAATATTGACCATGAAGGTTGGGCCATTGTTGGATGCCAGGGTAACAGGCAGCCCGAACCTAGGTACTAATTTCTGGATCAGTTTCTTAGTCACAATGGAGGCTGTCTCAGTTCGGGTGGGAAAAGTTTCCACTCATCCAGAGAATGTGTCCACCAACTTCAAGGGGTAGTTGTATCCCAAAACAGTTGGTTTAATCTTGGTAAACTTCAGATCCCAGTGTACCCCGGGATTGGTGCCTTGGGCATATATTCCCTCTTGGACTTTTGTTCCCCCGTTAGGGTTCAGGTGGGCACAGGTGGGACACCTGAATACAATGTCATTGGTCAACTAGTCTAGCTGGGTAATTTAATATGTGGGCCTGAGGCATTCAATAAGTTTTGTGACTCCCTGATGTATTGCCGAATGGAGATGAGTCACCAGTTGTCTCCTTAGGGCTGCGGGGAGATTAGGTCTTCTCTCTGGTAACAACCATCATCCTTTTCTTTCCTGTCTAGTGCTCCCTTATTGTGCCTGTTTTCCTTCCTCTGGTGTATAGATAGGTTTGTGAGTCTGGCTTGATCCTTTCAAAGTGACGAGGATATGGAGGGGCCCCACTGGTTATAGGGCCACCTTCCAAAGAGTGAAAGCCACTGCCCAATTTCCCTGTGCCTCATGGGAGCCTCGTTTGATGTCCTTTACAGTGTAGGATGGCTGCCTTGTTGCATAGTCATATGACTTTAAACAAGGCCATGATCTTCCTTTGTTTTTAAAATTTTTCCCAGCTGAAGTAAGGAGTCCCCTCTCTTAGTACTGTGCCCCATGCACATGAGCAGTAGCAAAAGCACACCAGCTATCTGTGTATACAGTGATGGCTCTGCCCTTACCCCATCAGAGCGCTTGGGTCAGTCAGGGCTGTGAGTTTAGCCTTCTGGGTGGAAGTAGCTCGGTTGAGGGACTGGGTCCAGATAGTCCTGTCCTTTGAGGTGACTGCAGCCACAGCATAAGTGGTTCCATCCTGGATGAAGCTGCTTCCATCGATGTACAGTACCTCATTGGTCTCTGAGAGTGGGATGTCAGTCAGGTCTGGTCTGGTGGATTTGATCAGGTCAGTGACCTCTGTACAGTTTTGTAGGAGTTGCTCTGGGTCGTCATTCAGCAACAGGCTTGCTGGGTTGAGAGCTGAGTTTTTGCAAAACCTTAAATGGGTTAATCTAGGAGGAATGCCTGATAATGGGTCAATCAGACATTGGACATCTATCTCTCCAGAGTGCCCTTCAGGAGTAAGGACTGATTTAGTATAGTTCTTATCCCAGAGTCAACTTATCATGGGCTGCTGGGGGCTCAATGAAATGGAGCCCCAGCCCTATCAATCTTTTTTGAGTTGAAGGATGGGGTGCCCCTCATTTCTTCTCCTGGTGAGGAAATTTATTCTTCCAGTGTTCCTTCTACTTTGATCCTTTTCTAGCTTGTTGTTGTTGTTGTTGTTTTCCTGTTGTCTCTGGTCTCCTCCCCTTGGCTTCCTACCCTCCCCCCAGGGCTGCTACCATTGCCCTAGTCAGGTTTTATTCTGTTTATCTTTCATAGTATCATGATTATTGTAGACTTTTTGAGCAATTTTTAATAACTGTGGCTATTCATGCCCTCAAACCCTTTTAGTTTCTGTAATTTTGTCCTAATGTCTGGGGCTGACTGCACAACAAAGGCAATATTTATGGCCCACTGGTTTTCTGGGGCATCTGGATCTATCAGAGTGAAGACTCCATAAGCCTCCTGGAGGCACTCCAGGAACCCAGGGGCGATTCTTGAGGTTCCTGAATCACCTCGCTTACCTTAGAAAGCTTTGTAGGTGTCCAAACAGCGAACTTTATTCTTCCCAAAAGGACTTGACAAAAGTTTTTCAGATCCCCCCTACCAGTGAGGGTCCGAGTCAGGTCTCTCAGAGGGGAAGAAATGCTCCGTGAGTGCATCACTGCCCGGGAGTGATCCAGACCCGAGAGCAATCTTTCTGTTCTCTAATCTGACCTGGTCTTGCTCTTCTGCTGTGAGGAGAGTGGCCGGGAGCTGATGACAATCATCCCCAGGGAGCTGGAGAGTATAAAAGACAGTCTCCAGGAGACTAATGAGTGTCTGGGTTTTCTCAGAGAAAGGAAAGTTTGAGCTTTCACCATAAACGGGTGTGGGCACTACTTGTGGGAGTCCAAGCTTCCTACTGCTTCTTGTTGCCCCAGTGTCATGGGCAGGGCTTCCCTTAGTGGAAGGATGGGTGCCAATTCAGCCTCATCCAGGGCCTCTCACATTTCCATATGCATAACTGCTTCACACAAAGGAACTGGAGAGGTGTCCTGAATCCAAGGAGAGTGTGTCTCCACCTAAATCCCTTTGGGCTGTCCATTTGGATCTGATACAGCTGTACACATAGGGGCGAGGAATGTCGCTCTCATCTGGCATGGGTGTCTGTGGTCCCTGGTGGAACCTGAGAGCTGTGCAGGACTTAAGTGGGGTCAGATGTCCAAGGTACCATGCCAGGGAGAGAGGACAAGCCTTAGCCACCACGCAGACTCCTTGTCCCTCACTGCCACACAAAAAAGTCAGCTGGCGAAAAGATTAACCCCTATGTGGCTGCTGCTGCCATCCTCCACTCCTCGCTCCTTCCCTGACCCTGAAATGGACATAGGAAGGAGCACCACAGGTGATGCATCTCTATTTACTGCACCCTGCTGTGGAATGGTCCAGGCCACACCACATGCCCATCATCCTCGGTGTCCACATTCTAGGTTTTGTTGGCCATCCGGACAACCAAAGTCTCCTCACTGGACCACACCACCTCGGAAGTCGGTCATTTGAATTCACAGAATATTCAGTTTCCTGGCTGAGAAATGGATGTTGTAGTCACTGTTATCTGTGGAACCATCCTTAAAATGCTGAAGCATTCACCTCAGAGGAGTCTTGGTACAGCTCGCTCCCCCTACCATATTGCCATAGATAACAGGTTGTCAGAAACAGACATCAACAAATGAGACAACCATAAACACCCCCCGACACACACACACAAATACACAGTGGACAGCAATCACTCATACACCAGTTTGTAAACCTTGATTACAGAGGGCCAGTTATCTCACACGGTTCCCTGGACACAAGATTACCAGCCGTGGTCATCCTCGCCTCATCACCCCCTACTGAAGGCGCCTTGGTCTGGCTTACATCCAGAGGTTTTAAAACCAGGCAACTGTCTGTGATCTTCAAAAAAATCTTTGGGGTGGGGGTATCCAGTAGCAGGGTCCAGAGATCCCAGAGCCCTGGTATATCTCAAATGGCCTCTCCTCTAGGAGTCTGTCCACAACTCACTATCCTTACACCCAGGTCGGAACCCAAGACACCCAGGGTCTGGGGTCTAAATCTATAGGGAATCTCCTGGGGCCTCCAAAAGTAATGAGGTAACCTACCAGGACAGACCACTCAGATATAGACAATTGCCAAATGAAAGTGTTTATAGCTGGCCAGTGACTAAACTGGGCATTAGATCCAAAGTACAACCCCATGTCTCTGTCAGGGTAAGCTTTTATACAGAAAAACCACATCCCTATCTGTTCAGGGGTTGAAAGCCCCTCCCCCCAACAGTTTCTCATCCTCCAGCCACCTCTGCTGCCATGCCTCCCAGCCACGATGGACTCTTGCCCCTGGGAACCATAAGCTCAAATAAACTCTTTCTTCTATAAGCTGCTTTGGTCAATGTTTCTATCACAGCAACAGAAAAGTAACTAATACAGTGATCATACTAGAAGGCCAGCTGAGTGAGCCAGATCCGAGGAGGATACATTCGGATTTCCTCATGTCTCACAAAAAGGCAGGGAAGAGGACTGGAAACAGAGAACTTGACAAGGTGTGAGTGCCTCAGATGAGTTCTGCATCCAGGAGCAATGTGAGCAAGCTGCCCTTAACTCCTGAGTGCTGTAACTAAATGTGTGAGCCACTGTGCCTGACTATTAGGTGACTTTTTGTGAAAGGTTCTCATGTATTACACTTTGACCTGAATTTTAATATATTCAACCCCAGTTCCCTCCAAAGGTGCTGCTCATGGGGGATGACAGCCCTTCTTTCTGCCCCGTAGGGTTCTCTCCTACTTTAACCTGAACTGAGCAGACCCTAAAGCCACCTTCCTAGAAACTGCTCTAATTTAAGAGAGTAATTTCCCTGCTGTTTGAAATCCACTTTTTTTTTTTCTCCTTTATTTTTCTTGACTGGGAGGTGTGTTTTTCTTTTTTTTGTGGGTGTGTGTATGTGTTGTGTGTGTGTGTGTGTGTGTGTGTGTGTGTGTGTGTGTGTTTGGTCTTTTGAGACAGGATCTCCCTGTAGCCCCAGATGGCCTGGAACTTGCTATTAGATCAGGCTAGGTTTGACCTCCCAGAGATCCACCTGCCTCTGCCTCCAGAGTGCTGGGATTATAGGTGTCCACCACCATGCCCAACTGTTTTGTTTTTATACTGCTGGGAAACAAAGAGACTCCTTCCCTTCTGGAAAGTGCACCTTAGCTTTACGTTTGTCAGAGATGGTTTTACCTTTAGGAACTGTTTTTTCTCTTAGATCAGGCTAGGTTTGACCTCCCAGAGATCCACCTGCCTCTGCCTCCAGAGTGCTGGGATTATAGGTGTCCACCACCATGCCCAACTGTTTTGTTTTTATACTGCTGGGAAACAAAGAGACTCCTTCCCTTCTGGAAAGTGCACCTTAGCTTTACGTTTGTCAGAGATGGTTTTACCTTTAGGAACTGTTTTTTCTCACTTTTTTTTTTTAAGTGTGCTAATAATGGAGCCCAGGGCCTTTCATATGCAAGTCATGTGCTCCACCACTAGGCTACATTGCCCCCTAGGATACTTTTTTTTTTTTCACTGAAGATAACATATGAGCCAGGCTCAAAAATATGTTCGGTGATTCCCAACATATTTCTTGTAATGGCCTGCAGTAGTAGAGTACTTACCTAATATGTATGAGGTCCCAGCACCACAGTCATAGACATACTACACACACACACACACACACACACACACACACACACACACCCCAACACAAAGTTTGTTTCCTATGGTTCTTCTTTCTTAAACAATAGAGACGGCTTCATGATCCACTTCCTAATCCTTTTTCTATCTCCTCTTTCAGTGGGAGTACAATGCATTAGAAAAACTTGGGGAAAGTTCTGAAACTGTTTATCCAAGAATCCAAGTAAATTTGTGGACCTAATCCCTTGTGACCTTACTTTCAGAGATGTAACCTTAGGGAAATCACTAGAAATGGGAAATAAATGTCAAATGAAAGCATCACTACATTTATAAGATAAAACACAGAACCAGGTGTCCACCAATAGAGAGGTGATGGAAGTTGGGGTCATGAGTTAGAAGCTGAGAATTGCTTATCCAAGACAGAAATGAGAACTGCTCACAAACCTGAAAACTTTTGTTACCTTTCGTGAGACAGGGTGTCATGAATCCTAGGTGCTCCTTGATTTTGTGCTCTTATCGGCTTCCCATGTGCTGGGGTGGCTGACATGGCCCTATCCCACACCTGCTTCTTTTTTGTTTCATTTTGGCTTGGTTATGAGACATATCTTATTCTGTAGCCCAGCCTGACCAGGAATTCCAGGTAATCCTTCTGCTTTGGCTTCCAAAATTCTGGGTACCAGGCACCACAGCAGACTCAGAATCTAAATGTTTTAGTTCCCTTGTAATGCAAAAGTGAAAATTTTCATGCTTCATCTGATATAAATATAACAGTCAAAAAGACACTGTAAACCACAATTTAATTATTATAAAGACTTTCTGAGTTCAAGTGTGGTGGCACACACATTTAGTTCGAGCACTCAGTAGTCAAAGGGCAAAGAATCTCTGTGAAATTGAGGCCAGCCTGGTCTACACAGGAAGTTCCATGTCAACTGGGGCCCAATCTTAAAAATTAAAAAGAAAGAAAGAAAAGAAAAGACTCTGATTCCTCCCTGCACTCATAACCAAAAACAAGTGTAAAAGAGGACATGTGCAGTTCTGTCACAGCATTGTCAGGTACCACATGATTCCCACGTGTGGCCTTCCCTACGTGCATTACACAGTATGTGCATTTACTTATTCTGTGCTGAAGAAAGCTACTGCTCAAAATCTCAAAGAGGACAGGCATGCTGTCATGAACTCAGTCCCAGGACTCAAGAGGACTGCAAGCTCCAGGTTGGCCTCGCTGCACAACAAGTTCCCTTCTGTAAACAAACATGCAAACGGAAACAAATACGTTTAAAAAAATCCCTACAGGTACCCCTATGTCTAACGGTAAAAGCGAAGGAGGAAGCATTTATGTTCATCTACAACAGGAAGTCAAGCAGTTAGATAAACTGGACAGATGTGAGTGAAACGTCTTAAAGATGAATCTGGTTGAAATGACTGCCATGTAGGACTCAAAGAAACAAAGGGAAAGTTTGTTCAAGTCCACGCTTAAAGCGATGAAAAGAAGTTGATAAAAAATGGAAAAATTGCCGGGCGAGGTGGCTCATGCCTTTAATCCCAGCACTTGGGAGGCAGAAGCAGGTGGATCCCTGTGAGTTCAAGGCCAGCCTGCTCTACATAGTGAGTTCCAGGACAGCTGGGGCTACAGGGAGACCCTGTCTCAAAAAGACCAAAAAAAGAAAAATTGCACAAAACTCAAATGGATGATTTTGTTCCCCAAATCATAGTGAACGTGTGCCAATTATCACTATGGTAATCACAAAGAATAAAAATTCTCCCATGATGTGCTGAACTTGGAAAGCACTGAGATTATTCAACAGACTGGTGCCAAAATTTAAGACATGGTATTAAATAGCAATTAAACTTTTAAAAATCATTTCATATCTTTATAAACAAGTGTTTGCAGTTTGATTTTTTTGAAAAAGTCAAGTTCTCAACTTGATCAAATATGAAGCAATTTTAATACCTTTTACATTTTATTTGAGCAGGCTGGAGAGATGACTCAGCAGGTAAGAGCACTTACTGCTTTTGAAGAGGAGCTGAGTGTGGTTCCCAGCATCCATGTCAGGAAGCACACTTCTGCCTGTAAATCCAGCTTCATGGGACTCAACACCCACACAATACAAAGGAAATGTACTTTTCATAAAAGGAGGAAAAACTAGGCTTGGGGAAAAATTGGCTTGAAAAACAGTTTGAGGCAGAATGCAGACATCATTGGGCACATCCTCAAAGGGGTTCAGCTGGGTTACGTGTATGGTAAATTTCCATAGGTAGCTTAGGCTACAAATGAAACTCAAGACCTGACTAAGCAACTAAGTTGAGACCCTCTGTTAAATTAAAATTAAAAGAGGTAACTCAGCAGTAGCATGCTTCGTGTGAGGATTTAGGTTCAATACATAAGGTTTTCCCTTTGGTCAGTTTTGGGGACCAAACTCAAGACCTATGCACAGTAGACAAGTTCTCCACCACTGAGTTATACTCCCAGTTCAAGTGGGAGGAGGACAGACAGCCTTGAACAAAGAATGGAAGAAAAGGAGACCTGAAATTAGAATGATGGTAAGATAAAGAGGACCCAGGAAAGACTTTTTACCCCAGCCCCAGGAATTGGGGTCTGTAGACAGAAGACCTGCCAAGAATATGAAAAAAAGGCCAAAAAATAAGAGAATGGGAAATAACAGTATTGGCCAGGAATCAAAAACCATGCCAAGCAAAGTGAGGGAGAAAGAGAGGAGACAGAAAAGAACAAGGGGAGAGAGAGAGAGTGGAGAGGAAGAGACAGAGGACAGGGTAGGCAGAGGACACCGGCCCAGTGGGAAGCTACCAAAGCTTCGGAGCTGCCTTGATCCTTGGAATGGTGACTCACTCATTACAACATCCTGAGGGCAAGTGAGGGGTACCCTTTGCAGGGGAAGGGAGGGAGTTTGGGCTTTTGGAGAGAAGGGAAGACTTCTGGGCAGGAAGGTAGAGAAAGGAGAGAGAGTGAGAGACAGAGAGGAAAGGAGTGAGGGAGAGAGGGAGAGAAGGTAGAGAAACAGACTTGCAGCTCCAGGAGAGGTGCACTTACCTGAACTCTGTCAATAGGTGAGCAGTGATAGGTGAATCGGTCAATCCAGAGAAAGTACTAGGACACAGACAAAACTGCAGTGGGATAGACTTTATTAGAAGAGGAAAGCACAT